GCGAACAGTATGTATAAGTATGTATTTTTACACTTCAAGGTAATACTGGAAGGAGAGCCTCTCACTCTACGTTTGTGATAAAAATTCACAGGATCGTGTATTTTGGCCTGTGAAACACGAATCTGCATGTTAAAATCGTCGCTCGGCACTAATAAGACAGCCATAAATTGTTAAAATCTGACAGTTTTGGGATTAGGATACCTGTCGTACCGACACCAACCGACGCTATACGGGAGCGTCGCAGACTCACCGAGCCTAACCTCACAACTGTCAGATTTTAACAATAATTCGCGCACTTCACTTGGCGGTAAAATCTACCCGCTGGCACCCTGTACTAGAAGCAGGGTGCTTTTTCCTTTCACCCGGGTGTGTTCAGGTGAAATCTGAATGGAATACGCGGAGGCCACCTGGGTGGAAGTAGGAGGAATCTGAACGGCGTTTGGGTGACTCGGATCACCTAGGTGGGGCATCTGAACGCAGCCTAGGGGGAATGGGATCAGGGGGAGGGAAGGGAAAGGGAAATTCAAAAATCGCGTATCGACAAGTTATTGTGCGGTCGACAATCCGTATCGACGCACAGTTTCTGAAAAAGTCGAAATAGACGCGTAAATAACATCTTAAAGTTATATACACGTTATTGCGAATAGTATTATCACAGCCCCGGTGGTCGAGCTGGTTAAGACGCCCGTTACGGATTGTAGGGAGGTCCCAGGTTCGAATCCTGGCTGGGGTAATATTTTTCGCAATAAGAATTTTAATTGCCAGACACGGTCGACAAAAAATCACCGATGTTATTAATCACGAGACACGGTAGTGTCTCGCGCCAAGTATAACCGACAACAATTAAGCGACAAGCTATTAAGCGACAAGCTAAAACCACGCGCGCGACACCGATCGTGTAGTTTACGCGAGTACGCGAGTTGACGGGCCCTCAGATTTTCGGATTTCAACAACGGCTGATCCGACGAACTTGAGACTGCGCTTAATCGATAGCTTGGGTACGATTTGCATAATAAAAGTGTTTTTACTTTCCTCCTACGTGCCCCATGAGTGGAGATATTGCAATGCAAAGTCCGCATGTTGGGCAGATTACGTAGGATATTAAGAACCGTCTTTGTCGTCGTCTTGGTCGACAGGCCAGTGGAGGGGGAAACGTCCTTTTCACTTTTCCGTCGCAACGTGGCATTGGCGCTGCGCTGACGTGACTGACATTACCGATGTTACCGACGCGGGTAAACCTTCGGAAAACCCACGCATATGAAATAAGGGATAACACTCAATTCCTATGTATTTTTGTGTTCTGAACATGAATATGTAACTTAAACATGGCGGTCGGAACAAGAAACCCATGAAAACCATGAAAAACCCATAAAAATTATGGTTTTTAACATTTATCCCACCAAATATCAAAAATTTTGAAAAATGTTTTAAATAAAAGTTGTAGATCTCTTTAAAATATACATTTTATATCCTATTCATTTTTACTGTACGAGTGAGTTTTCGAGAAAAATGATGGATTCTAAATCTTATATCTGTCCTCTCATCTAAGCATATGTGCTTTGTAGTACATATACGATTCCATATGGATTTGCGACTTTTCACGTGAAGCGAGATCCACTCCACACTTCGTACATAGTTTGGGTCAGGTTATATTTTAACAAAGTGGAGCCCCTCCGAAGGGGGGGCGGAACGTACTGTCTCCACGCATGTACTTCCGCCGTTGTACTGTTCCACATGGGTTTGCAACTTTCCACGTGAAGCGAGATCCACTCCACATCTCTGACATAGGATGGGTAGGGTTATTTTTAACGAAGTGGAGCCCCCCCTTCGGGGGGGCTCCACTTCGTTAAAAATAACCCTACCCACCCTATGTCAGAGGTGTGGAGTGGATCTCGCTTCACGTGGAAAGTTGCAAACCCATGTGGAACAGTACAATGTTGGAAGTACATGCGTGAAGACAGGTGTGTTCC